AGAAGATATGAATAGAAAGTCCCTCTTAGAATATAAACCCCAAAAGAAAAATGATACCAAAGGGGTACCTTTTATTTGTAATTTTAACCAAGACAGCAGTAAAATAAGGAAAATAATCAATAGATATTGGCCAATTTTAAGAAATGACCCGATGCTATACAACGTACTACCAGACAAACCGAAAATCATATATAGAGGGGCCCCCAATTCAAAACAACTGTTGACCCATAACCATATAAGGGAGAAAAAAACCTAACCCTTTTTTCAAAAACAAGGTTTTTTTTCGGATGTGGACAAAAAGCAATAAAAGACATGTCACCACCTTTATAGATCCCCCCCCCCAAAAAAACCCGAATATAAAATAAAAAATATGACCACATGTTTTACAAAGAAAGTAATTTATATTCTAAAATGTCAATGCCAGCTATATTATGTGGGGAGAACTAAGCATCCTCTTCACATAAGAATTAATGAGCATGTGAGGAATATCAGAAAGGGGTATGACAAACACAATGTCTCTTTACATTTTAAATTTTTACACAACAGTGACCCCCAATTTTTTGAATTTTTTGCCAGTTAAAAATTGGAAATAAATAAGAGAGGGGAAGATGAGATTAAAAAATTAGGACAAATAGAAATGAAATAGATTTTCAATCATCTCAACACCCTCACCTCTTTTGGTCTGAATGCAGATTTTGAGTTGTGTCATTTTTTGTAAGACTTTTTCATATGTATAATATTTATGTTTTTAAAGGTTTTTTGAGTATCAGTGTATTTTGTATCCCTGTTGTAATACCAGTTTTATTTTTAGTGTATTTCTTATTCCCAATACTTGTGGGTTCATTTTATATGACTGAGCAAAATCACACAGGCTTTGCTAACATATGTGCACCTACATTTTTGTTTCATACATCTTATATAGGTATAAAATCTAAAATATAGAGTTTATTCCTTAACATAGAATAAGGTTCTTATGATATATAATCTAAAGTAAAGAGATTTACTCCTTAAAATAGAATAAAGCCATTATTTATATATTCATCAAATAACTATTTGAAAAATAAAAAACACTTTTAACTATTCTTTTTTTCATTTATAAATATGTTTGTATTTTGAGAGACTCAACAATATGAAGGACTTTCCAGATCCATAAATACGAACGCAAGTATTGACTAACCCGATGAACTATGGGTATAGTAGTTCAAACGATCAACTGAGATAGAACTACTGAAAGAGAAATGCATGTCGGGAGTTGTAGTTCCAAGGACCAACCGGAAGTGACACAACGGCAAATTACAGACACAAAGAAGATCGGCTGGGTCCCACATCACAGGATTGGATAACGAGCAAGAAAGGCGGGAATGTGCAACATTAGAAAACCGGATATCGAGAAAGAAGATTCATACCAATCGAAAAAGCCGAAAGTGAGGGCAAAACGCGTTTTGGTAAAAGAGGAGAGGAAGAGGACCAATATATACTGTATTTATTTATCTTATGATATATTTTATATATTTTTTTATTTGTTTATGTTTGATATATTTTAAATAAATTCTATATACATACCTACCTCCATCTCCACCTTGCATCTTGGATCCGGTTAGGGCAGTGTCACCCTACAAATTGACACAAAATCTTTATATTTAGAGCCAGTTACCAAAAGGCTCTACACAACGTGAGCACCCATCTTTTTTACAATCTATCTTCACTGATATCATTAATTCTGCACCCAAAGGTTCCGTGTTTTTGGCTCTTTTTTTTCTCGATAATATACATTTGCTGTGAGAAATAAGGGGAAGTGAGCTATACGAAAAGGGTACAGTTGCCTACCTTAAAGGCACGGAAGCTGAAGTGTTTAGAGCCTATATCCATATAAAAGGTTCATTAAAATGTATTTTCACTCACTATACCTAGAAATTATCCTACTTGGTGTTATACAGTACTACGCTATATATTTTTTCTGTTTTTTTCTCTTGCATATATAACCCCTGTATACTCTGAGGGGTACGTGTATGTTTTGCATTATTTGTTCTGTAATCACATCTATAGCATTGATACCTTAGAGAGGGTTCAGAGAAGGGCTACTAAACCGGTTCATGGATTGCGGGATAAAACTTACCAGGAAACGTTAAAGGATCTTAACATGTATAGCTTGGAGGAAAGACGAGACAGGGGGGATATGATAGAAACATTTAAATACATAAAGGGAATCAACACAGTAAAGGAGGAGACTATATTTAAAAGAAGAAAAACTACCACAACAAGAGGACATAGTCTTAAATTAGAGGGACAAAGGTTTAAAAATAATATCAGGAAGTATTACTTTACTGAGAGGGTAGTGGATGCATGGAATAGCCTTCCAGCTGAAGTGGTAGAGGTTAACACAGTAAAAGAGTTTAAGCATGCATGGGATAGGCATAAGGCTATCCTAACTATAAGATAAGGCTAGGGACTAATGAAAGTATTTAGAAAATTGGGCAGACTAGATGGGCCGAATGGTTCTTATCTGCCGTCACATTCTATGTTTCTATGTTTCTATGCACTCATACTAAGTATACTCAAGTGTACTCATACTCTTAGCTGTTTGTCTTTCGGTGTTTATATATTGTAGTCGGAGTTTTTGAGTACCCACAGAGTTTAATCAGCAGCTAAATCAAATAATAAAAATTTCCACCACAAAGCGCCATCCTTCTTCCACACCTTTTGTGTTGTTCTATATTCATGAATTTGCCCTCCCAACCCCCAGACCCCACACCACACAATAACTCCCTCACACACAGACACTGCCACCTCACACAAACACACTGCCCCATACACAAACATATACACACATAATTACCCCTATACACTCAATTACACCCATACACACAATTACCCCTACATACACACACACACTGATCCCCCTACACACACTGCTCCCCATACACACACTGCCTCCCATACACACAATTACCCCCATACACACACACACTGCCGCTCCATACACACAAACTCTACCCTTCACACACACTGCCCCACACACATTGTACCCCTCACACAGCCTGCCCCCCACACACCCCACACACTGTACCCCTCAAAAAAACACTATACCCCTCATACAACCTGCTCCACACACACACACTGCCCCCACACACACACTGTACCCCTCACACACAAGCTGCCCAACAAACACAGACAATGCACCCCTCACACACATGCACCCTGCACCCCTCACACACGCACCCCTCACAAACACTCCACCACTCACACACACACACATAGTGCATCCCTCACACACACTACTGACCCATATCCCCTTCTACAGCCCCTATCCCGGAAGATCCCAGGTAAGTTGTCAAACTGTTCTTAAACAGTTTTACTACTTACTCTGGGAGGGCACCACAGCAATACTGGCAGCATAACCAATACAAAGTGCTGTAGGGGTAATTGTGCCTATATTGTTTCTTTAAATAATCTACCAGTGCCCCTCCCAAGATTAGGTTCTGGATCTGCGCTTGAATGGCAAGTATTTCTGCTGAACAGTGGCCCAGTATATGCTGCTGTGCTGTACATATACACCTACTGTCCTCCACCCCCGTCCCCCACCCGTGTGCGGTGGGTGGGGGCCATAAATAAAAAATGGGGAGGACCCACGGTGGGTGGGGGCCCTAACTAACAATAAGGGGGGACCTAATGTCCTCCCCCCACCCGTGAGCGGTGGGGGGGCCATAAATGAATATTGGGGGGACCCAATGTCCTCCTCCTCAGCCCCCACCCCTGCGCGGCGGGTGGGGGCCCTAAATAACAATAAGGGGGACCTAATGTCCTCCTCCTCAGCCCCCACCCCTGCATGGCAGGTGGGGGCCCTAAATAACAATAAGGGGGGACCTAATGTCCTCCCCTCGGTCCCCAGCCCTGCACGGCGGGTGGGGGCCCTAAATAACAATAAGGGGCGGTTTAATGTCCTCCCCGTGGCCGCCACCCCTGAGCGGTGGGTGGGGGCAATAAATAAAAATCCCCCTCAGGTGACTAGGGGTCCCCAAACCACTAGTCACCCCCCAAAAAAATTACTCCTACCTACCCCCTCATCCTAAAAATAATGAGGGGGAACCCTAAATACATGTAAAAAAAAATAGACTTACCATTTGATGTCTTCTTTCTTCTAAAATCTTCCTTTTTCAGCCCCAAAAAAGGCCAAACAAAAATCCAGAATAACCAAGGCACTTAAGAAAATAAATAAAAATGAGCACCAAATTTTTTTTTATCCTTCTTCACCAATGGAGGGCTCCGCACAGACTGAGCTCTGCAGGGCGGGGGAAGGCTTATAAAACCTTGCCCTGCCCTGCAATTAGGCTCAGAGCACTCTGATTGGTGTGTTTAAGCCATCCAATCAGAGTGCTCTGACAGGTAAATGAAGAGACTGACAGGAAAGTTTCTACATTTACCTGTCACAGCACTTTGATTGGTTGGCTTGAAATCCACCAATCAGAGTGCTCTATGTCATTTTACACAGCGTGGGAAAATTCCAAAGAACTTTCCCATGCTGTGTAAAATGACACAGAGCACTCTGATTAGTTAACTTGAATTCCAGCCAATCACACCTATATTCAAAATCTTCAATAGGGTATAAAAAATGTCTGGCACTCATGAATTATATTCTTTACTGTCCTTTTTTTTTTTTTAAATCCTTTGACCATATAGTGATTCTCCTTGTTTGGCTAGTTAAAGTGTAAATATTTTCTATAATTTATTGTTGGAAACTTTTTACTTGAGAAAAGTATTTTAAAATGGATTCCATTTTAACTGACTGCAGTTCAAAAGAACAAAATAGAAACTTGCAAATCTTTATTTTTGAGCTAACTTCTTGGTTATTTTTATTGTGCCTTGGGATAATGATTCACTTGTGTAGAGGAAATCTGAATGTATGTATATAGACTATGGATGATTATATAAGCTGTAGCTCTGTGGATTGTTATGGAGAGAGCTTTGAACACAGATACAGGGAACCTGCGCAGAAGGACAGAATGTCTCTGATGGAGCCATATGCAGAGTTTTTCTGTCTAATCACCCTGTGTATAATGGTTGGAACATCTGAAATGAGGAAACCAAAATCCGTATGCTCTCTAAACATACTGGATTATTTCTTTGAGTTTGAATATCATAAAGAAGGAGACGTCATCATTGGAGGACTATTTACTGTAAATATGGCTGTAAAGATTGGATATGAATATACTGTGAATTCTGTCCCTGCGTATAAGATATGCACACAGTAAGTAATTCTGTTTCTGTAGATAGAATTGTCTAAGTCATAGTTTCCTACGTGCATTACATTAGTTATAGGAAACATTGCATTTTATCAAACTGCTCTTCAGTGTTTTTGTTTCCACTTCAATTCAGCAAGCAAGTGAACCATTCCAAAATGAACATTATTTAATGTGAAAACATATTCAATGAATATAGGTTTATTAAATCCCTTTTAGTCTATTTATTATAAAATGTTTAGCTATGAAGAGAGACAGTCACAATCAGCTTGATTTACTCTTTGGTGGTGATACCCCACAAGTTGCTAAAATATGTTATATCTGGTATTTGCTATGTTTGTTCACATGCTGGCTACCTGGCTTAGTTAACATAAGTGACAGGCAAGAGAGGGTTGTAGTCAATGGAGTATATTCAAAGCTTGGGCTTGTCACCAGTGGGGTACCTCAGGGATCTGTACTTGGACCCATTCTCTTTAATATTTTTATTAGTGATATTGCAGAAGGTCTTGATGGTAAGGTATGTCTTTTTGCTGATGAAACTAAGATATGTAACAGGGTTGATGTTCCAGGAGGGATAAGCCAAATGGCAAATGACTAAGGTAAACTAGAAAAATGGTCAGAGTTGTGGCAACTGACATTTAATGTGGATAAGTGCAAGATAATGCATCTTAGACGTAAAAACCCAAGGGCAGAGTACAGAATATTTGATAGAGTCCTAACCTCAACATCTGAGGAAAGGGATTTAGGGTGATTATTTCTGATGACTTAAAGGTAGGCAGACAATGTAATAGAGCAGCAGGAAATGCTAGCAGAATGCTTGGTTATATAGGGAGAGGTATTAGCAGTAGAAAGAGGGAAGTGCTCATGCCATTGTACAGAACACTGGTGAGTCCTCACTTGGAGTATTGTACACAGTACTGGAGACCGTATCTACAGAAGGATATTGATACTTTAGAGAGAGTTCAGAGAAGGGCTACTAAACTGGTTCATGGATTGCGGGATAAAACTTACCAGGAAAGGTTAAAGGATCTTAACATGTATGGCTTGGAGGAAAGACGAGACAGGGGGGATATGATAGAAACATTTAAATATATAAAGGGAATCAACACAGTAAAGGAGGAGACTATATTTAAAAGAAGAAAAACTACCACAAGAGGACATAGTCTTAAATTAGAGGGACAAATGTTTAAAAATAATATCAGGAAGTATTACTTTACTGAGAGGGTAGTGGATGCATGGAATAGCCTTCCAGCTGAAGTGGTAGAGTTTAACACAGTAAAGGAGTTTAAGCATGCGTGGGATAGGCATAAGGCTATCCTAACTATATGATAAGACTAGGGACTAATGAAAGTATTTAGAAAATTGGGCAGACTAGATGGGCCGAATGGTTCTTATCTGCCGTCACATTCTATGTTTCTATGTTTCTTTGGTGTTGATACCCCACAAGTTGCTAAAATATGTTATATCTGGTATTTGCTATGTTTGTTCACATGCTGGCTACCTGGCTTAGTTAACATAAGTGACAGGCAACAGAGGGTTGTAGTTAATGGAATATATTCGAAGCTTGGGCTTGTCACCAGTGGGGTACCTCAGAGATCTGTACTTGGACCCATTCTCTTTAATATTTTTATTAGTGATATTGCAGAAGGTCTTGATGGTAAGGCATGTCTTTTTGCTGATGAAACTAAGATATGTAACAGGGTTGATGTTCCAGGAGGGATAAGCCAAATGGCAAATGATTTAGGTAAACTAGAAAAATGGTCAGAATTGTGGCAACTGACATTTAATGTGGATAAGTGCAAGATAATGCATCTTAGACGTAAAAACCCAAGGGCAGAGTACAGAATATTTGATAGAGTCCTAACCTCAACATATGAGGAAAGGGATTTAGGGGTGATTATTTCTGATGACTTAAAGGTAGACAGACAATGTAATAGAGCAGCAGGAAATGCTATCAGAATGCTTGGTTGTATAGGGAGAGGTATTAGCAGTTGAAAGAGGGAAGTGCTCATGCCATAGTACAGAACACTGGTGAGACCTCACTTGGAGTATTGTACGCAGTACTGGAGACCATATCTTCAGAAGGATATTGATACTTTAGAGAGAGTTCAGAGAAGGGCTACTAAACTGGTTCATGGATTGTGGGATAAAACTTACCAGGAAAGGTTAAAGGATCTTAACATGTATAGCTTGGAGGAAAGACGAGACAGGGGGGATATGATAGAAACATTTAAATATATAAAGGGAATCAACACAGTAAAGGAGGAGACTATATTTAAAAGAAGAAAAACTACCACAACAAGAGGACAAAGTCTTAAATTAGAGGAGCAAAGGTTTAAAAATAATATCAGGAAGTATTACTTTACTGAGAAGGTAGTGGATGCATGGAATAGCCTTCCAGCTGAAGTGGTAGAGCTTAACACAGTAAAGGAGTTTAAGCATGTGTGGGATAGGCATAAGGCTATCCTGATGTGACAGAACCATCTGTCTGCTGGATTTTTTGCCCGTTCGTCTGTTTGTCCCCCGTTCGTATGAATGGCTGGTTTCTATAGCCCAGCCATTCGAATGACTCTTTTTCCCGAACAAATCTGCCGAACGAACGGCCACCCAAGTGAGGAGTGTGCTGCTGGTTAACAAAGTGATCCCCATTAGAACGTTGTGGTTAACAGCAGACACTTCTCAATTAAACCGAACTCAGGGTGGTCGTCGTTCGTATGTCGACCACGAGGCAGCGGCCATTTTAAATCATGCGAACGCTCAGCGGTGTTTGGCTCTATTTCTATGGAACTGAAAACGGACACTTTTTCTGCCGAACACCGCTGAAACAAGGGAACGCCTGGCTGCCTCCACGAAAGCATGCGAACACCGGCCGTTCGGGAGATTGAGAGCATACAAAAGACTTAACCCAGATAGCCCTCCCATGGAGTCATTCGTATACCGAAAGACTGTAAGAACTTTGACTCCATGGCGATTGAACTATGTGTGTGGGATCTGAGCGCTATTCGCTAATAATATGCACTCAGATCCAGGCTATCTGGGGACATGTAATACGAATGGGAAATGTTCAGTTTTCATGTAGTTATATATTTTTATGTCTTTTATTATTTTATGTCTAAGATGGCGACTGGCTTTGTCCTGGAGTTAATTGAGTTACTTGGTAATTAACTCCAGGGCAGAGGGGAGGGAATCAGAATGCACTGTGGGTAAAATATGTGACTGTGTGTCTGAAATGTCCTTCTATCTGTCTGTAGTTTAAGTCTCCCATTTGGTCCCCTAGGGGAGTGTCCACCAGGTGGGAGACCTGCATAAATACGGGCAGGTAGCCCACAGTAAAACCAGATCTTATTTGACCCTCAATGCGGAGCTTCTGTCTCGTTATTGGGGGGATTTCTTCTTCACGTTTAGAGACTGCTGGATGGAACGAAAGCCGCTTTGGGGATATTATTGTTCGACGGTTACTAGCAGTTCGTATATTGCCGTTCGAGAGTTTGGAGCCGTTCGTGGATTTCGATCGGGAAATAACCTCTACCCCTGCATTGGGTTCGTGTGTTACAGAGTAAGCGAACGGAGACTGTACTGCAGCCGGGGAAGGTTTACTAAACGGCGGTTTGGCTTAAAGACACTGGAGGTGTCTTAACACCTGACTACAAGATAAGGCTAGGGACTAATGAAAGTTATTGTCCTGGTAAATGGAGGTTTTGTCATGTTGGGGAAAAATATAGTAGGAATCAGTAATACTTTGTCACTGGTTGCAGCTATAAATATTGAAAACGCATAAAAAAAAATCAATACTTGGATCCGTTACATCAGCTAGAAAAAAGCATTTTTGGCAGAATTTTGCAAAAACTCAAACTATTTCAACATAAGGCTGTAGTAAATAGTTATAATGGCTGTAAAACACTATAGTGCACCATTTCTATCCATAGAATATCTCAACAGCAATTGGTTTGAGGGTAATGCAATGTCCAGATATATAAATATTTTGCCATCTAATTTACCAAACTCAGAGTAATAATAACATATTAATGATTACTTTATTATTTTATTGAGATTGTTTAATTATTATTACAGATAATAGCTAACAAACTTGTTTATTAACCTATTACAATGAAACATAATCCACAGAATTCAACCTTTAGAATACCGAAAACTACTGGCTTTTATTTTTACTATTAATGAGATTAATAGCAACCCGTATATTTTACCCAATATAACTCTGGGTTACCACGTGTTCGACTCTTGTGGAAAAGCTCACAAATCTATAAAAAATCTCTTCCAAATACTGTCTGGGGAGAATAAGGAAGTTCCAAATTATTCCTGCCGTAAACTGGACAAACTAGCTGGATTTATAGGAGATCAACTGTCTGCTACAACCATCCCGATGGCACAAATTCTGAGTCTGTACGGATACATGCAGGTAAGAGATATCTGATATATTTATTGGAATTGGATTAAAGAGTTACAATGTCATTGCAAATTGTCTAATATCATGGATACATATTTAAATACGTTTAGCTGCATGGAGAAAACATGTAGTTTGTTTTCGGTTTTGTTTTTGTAATTCCAAAATGAATTTGCTGAAAGTCAGTAATTATCAATTCAGAGCAAAACAAAATTTGTTTAAACCTTTTTGGAAATATCCAGAATTTGAACATCAGTTATTCTTTATAAGGTGCTGTTTAGTATTTAACTCTCCTAATTTGTGGAACTTCCCTACGTAGGATACCAAATTAGAGCACTGTTTAGTAAATAGCTCCCCTAATTTCCAGGACTTTGCTACTAAGCATACAAAATTAGCTGATTTTTTAGTGGATAGCTCTGCCATGGGTACACTTTGTAACTTTATGTGGGATTGCCTTATCAAGTTTAGTAGATATCTCCCTTAACCCCTTAACGCCAGATGACGGAACGGTTCCGTCATGCTGGGGAAGCACCTAACACCAGATGATGGATGCGGCAGACAGGGAGTACCCAATCGTGCTGTCCCTGCAGCTGTGATCACTTTGACAGGCTGCCAAAGCAGGCACATGTGCTGCAGGGACTTTTACTCTACCACTCTGTTCTTCTGCAGTCAGTGTGAAATGCTGGGAGACAGATCAGTACTGCTGATCTTCTCCCTGTGTAAGAAAATATAGTAAAAGTTAAATCCCACCCCTGGATGGGAGTTTATTGGAAATTGGGGAATTTACAGTTAGTGCTGCTTACTGCTAGTTAGGGGTAAACAGTAAAAAAAAAAAAGTTTATAAATAGTAAAAAGGTTTTAAAAAAAAGTTTAAAAAAAAATAATAAGTAAACAAAAAAGTTTAAAAACAAGTTTTCGAAGTAAAAAATGTTTAAAAAAGTAAAAAAATACATAAGAAATGATCATTACCACTACACATGGAACAAACACCAAAAGAAATGATCCCACACCAAGGTTCAAAATATGCCTTTTGAATTATTCCGGGGTGTTTTCTTTAATAAATAGTATTTGTTTGTGGGGAAGTTTGAATAACCAACCAGCTAAGCTACTCTGAATAGTGATGTCCCGAACGGTTCGCCGAACGGTTCGTGAACGGTTCGCCACGAATGGTTCGCCACGGACTCATCATTGAGTAAACTTTGACCCTGTACCTCACAGTCAGCAGACACATTCCAGCCAATCAGCAGCAGACCCTCCCTCCCAGACCCTCCCACCTAACGGCGAACCGTTAGGGACATCACTAACTCTGAAATGAAACATGGACACAGTGTAAAACATCAAAGTTAAAAAAAAGCTGCATGACTGCGTCTCAAATTTGCCCCATAAACATCCACATATACCAGGCAAAGGTACATTGTGGGTATTGTATTGTCAAAAGACATAGCTGAGCAACATATGAAGTATTATACAGTCGTAGCACACATAAGGTTTGCAAAATATATTGTGCAAACTCACTGTGTGTCAAAAGGCAGAAAAAATGCTTATTACCACTATACTTGGTACAAGCTAACGGAAAAATGATCCCATGCTAAGGTTCAAAATATGCCTTTTGAAATACCCTGGGATGTCTTCTTTAAAAAATTGTATGTTTTATGGTGTAGCTGGAATATGTAGCCTGCTCAAGTGTTCCAAAGTGGGACACGGACACATCAAAACCCTCCATGAAAATTCAACTGAACTTGTCACCTCTCTTTTACAGCACTGTAACTTCACAAAATTGTCTCATTTATGGCATTGTAGCCTTACAGACTAGTGCGAAAGGCATACAATGGGGGTATCATTATACTCAACAGATGTAGCTGAACACAATATGGGCTTCTGTACAGGAATAGCACACACCAGCTTTATGAAATACACATTACAAAAGCCTTGCTATATGTGTATATGCCAAAATAGAGAAAAAACACAATTTCCTCCAATATTTAGCGGAGATTGGCGATGAAATGGCTACATAAAAAGTGTCAAAATAACCTTAGGTAAATAGCTTGTGATGTCTACTTTATATGAATATATACTTTTGTGTGTCAATTTTGTTTTCTGTGATGTCTACTAAACCTACAAGGCAAACATACCAAATTCTAAAATTTCTCATATTGAAATTATATTTTTAGTCCTTTTATTTGTTGACCTGTAACTTTCAAAATAAGATGAAATCATTTACATATGATGTACTCTATAAATCAAGGCACATAAATTGATTTATTTTGAATTACTTTTTCTAAGCTGGACATACTATGCACACGATAGTATTGCCAAAACTGAAAAAAAATGTTGTTGTTTTTTTCTTTGTGGCCTTTGTTTTATAGCTAATGAGAATTTATATATGTATATGTCTTATCAAATTAAAGCCCCTTTTGCACCTCTAAAAAACAGTATATAATATGTGTTGGTGCAATAAATGATAGACATGCAAATTGCGTTTAAACACAAACAGCAAAAAATGCAAATATGGCTTGTGTCCTTAAGGGTAAGTCCAGTTTTTGAAGCTGCGTTCTTAAGGGGTTCATTTTGTACCCGAATGTGGGATTGCCCTATTTAGCAGTTCCCTAATTTAGTAAACTTCTAAACAGCTGCCAATTTTGAAATCCATAAATAGACAATCCCTTATAAGTAAACCGAATACTTTTTTTTGTTCAGTTACTTAGTAATGAAGTCCTTTACGTTAACATTCTCCTCACAGTAAAATACAATTGACAGTATTTTTGCAATACCGGCATCAGCCACACAGGATCAAATACCGGCTGTGCCAGTAAAACACTGGACAGGTGGCAACCCTAACTGCCATAAATAAATCCGTATTTACATAAACATTATACCTTACTTACCTTACTTTGAGTTATTAACTAAAGTGAGAATTTATAGTGAATTTAAAGATAATTTCATGTTTTAGTACAAAGTTGCTGAACTGGAAGCTTAGCTGATTTAAGAACATTTTTCCAATCCTATTATCTAGCATTGAATTTGAAATTCACTTGAAAGGCCTTCAAGCTCTGTAAACCCTTAAAAGCCCTGGAAATGTTTCAATTTATCATGGAACACCACCATGCTGTTTTAGTGTCACCATATTGCTTTAAATGTTTATTGTTTTCCTATTGTACTGCAAAATCTGCATATATCATGGATTATCATGTGCTTGACTCTTGTGGAAATGCCCGCACATCTATATTAAATATCTTTCAAATATCATCTGGGGAGAATAAGGACATTCCAAATTATTCCTGCTGAAAACTGGACAAAGTTCAGTTACACTCAGCAGTGTATCTGTGATATTTACTATTAAATATATTAACCCGTTCTCAAATTGTTTAACATTTAAGTGTAGTCCCCCAGATCCCAGTCTGGCTTCCTTTCCCACTGTCATCGGAAAGGCAGTAACACTTGCTTGGGCAGCAGTTATAAGCACCCTCAGCCTGGATCGGTGCTTGGGGGACTCTACTTAAATAGTCACTCTGGGCACCCAGACATTTTCTCAATAAAAATAATTTAAAGCTCCACCACACTGAATAATAATTGTGTAATGTTTATTCAGTAACTATAAGGACTTGACAATGTTCTCTCACCAGACCCTCTGTCAGCCTAGTCATACAAAACAGAACTCACTATAGTGAGAATTCAAAAAAAGTATCAAATATAATACTTTAATCAAATGTAAGCATTTCTGACTTTTTTGTTTCCAATTCAGCTATTTTTACCTTAGTGCTAGGAAAACAAACTCGTTTTCCTGACACTCTAGTGTTAATAGGTCCCCCCCACCCTCATGGTCCCCCTCCCGCTGGGCTCAAGAGGGGTAAAGGGGTTAAACACTTACCCTTCTTCAGCGCCAGGGTCCCTCTGCGCTGGGGTCTCTCCTCCCTCTTCCGACGTCACCCGCCGAACGCGCGCGCATTCAATCAGAAAGAGAGAAATTACATGTATTTGAATGCATTCGTGTAAGGTAACTAAGTTCTATGTGTTAAATATATTGTATTCGTTTGAATGTTAGGTAGTTTCATTCCCTTAGTTTGTTCGAATGAAACTACCGAACAGTCAGACCTCCCCTGTGTGAAGTGTGCCTTCAATTACCCATTGCAACATTGTTGCGAACGGGTAATTGACAAGCTAAGTAGCCGTCCTTTGTTCTCGGGGGTGGCCGCCATTCGAAAAACGAACACGTTGCGGCGGCCATTTTAAAACTCCCGAACAGCAGTGTTTTGCCGTCGAGTGTCTGGAACTCAAGTCGGACACTCGACTAGGTGAACACCGCTGAAACCTCCACAAGCCCGGTCTGTTCGGTTCCAAACTACCGAACGGCCCCTCCCTAGTCTCTGTAGCTAGAGGCTTTCGTGCCGTTTATTCCCTGACTCCAGGACCGACCGCAGGGCCCATTCGCATGGAAGCTCATTCGGCTGTTCTATCCAGTGCGGTCGGTCATTTTATTCCCTCCATGAATTTCCCGAACCCCTGGTCTGATCTGGGTGATTTTTGGATATGTTGTTCACCCAGATCAGGGCTACCAGGGGATGTATAATTTAAAGTGGTACCCCTAAGTTTAGGGGTACATCCAGAAACGGGGGGAATTTGTGTGCTAGATAAGGGGATTATGATGCAGGCTGAGGGGAGGAGATGTGTTGGAGGTTACCAGAGCAGGATTGGCTACTGTACTAATGAATGAAAATCCCTCCCTTGTATGGGAGCAGGCTTTAAAAGGCCACTGTCTGAATAAATCTTTAGTTCTGCTCCTGAAACTGTGTGTCGTCCAGGTATTGGGATTGCTGTTGGGATACTGCTGTGTTATTTTGCCTGCTGGATACTTTACCCTATGGATTTATAATTGCTTGTTCCTGAACCTCCCTGGGATCCAAAGTGGAGATTCTCTTTTTTAGCTCTCCGCTACACTCCTATTTTTCATCACAAACCCAGAGATCTCATTCCCCAATATCTTAAAAGCCTTCCAAGAATACGGTGCAGTCTCTAACATGAAAATAAATTTTGCCAAATTATATGTCTTTAACGTCTCGGTTCCCCAACACCGAGCGGCTCTGCTCTGACAGAGCTACACATTCCAATGAGCTGAACGTCCAGTACTTAGGCATATGTCTCACTAAACGTAGCACCGATCTATACACAAAGAATTTTGCCCCAATGCTGAACACGTTTAAGAGGGACATGCAGGAATGGGCATACCCCAAATCTCCTGGCTGTGATGCAATCAGGTAGTCAAAATGAACTTTCTCCGGCGGCTCCTCTACTTAATGCAGGCTATACCCATAATAATCCCACAGACATTATTATTATTATCATTTATATAGCGCCAACAGATTCCGTAGCGCTTTACAATATTTTGAGAGGGGGGATGTAACAATAAATAGGACAATTACAAGAAAACTTACAGGAACAATAGGTTGAAGAGGACCCTGCTCAAACGAGCTTACAGACTATAGGAGGTGGGGTATTAGAAACATTAGGACAGAAATATCAAGTAGGAGTGAAGCAGAGCTGGAGGAGAGAGCAAAGCACTGTCCCATAGGAGAGAGCAGGAGACAGGTATGTAAGGTAGAGATTACTCTGGGAGGCCATAAGCTTTCCTGAAGAGATGGGTTTTAAGGCCCTTCTTAAATGATTGAAGACTAGGGGAGAGTCTGATGGCAGTAGGCAAGCTATTCCATAGGAGAGGAGCCACCCGCGAGAGGTCCTGCAAGCGCGAGTTGGCCGTATGGGTGCCAGCAGTGGTCAGGAGGTGGTCACGGGCAGAGCGGAGGGTACGAGGAGGGGCATATCTATGGATTAGTGAAGAGATATAAGTGGGGCTAGAATTGTTCAGTGCTTTAAATGTGTGGGTTAGCACTTTGAATTGACTCCTATAGCATACAGGGAGCCAATGTAAGGACTGGCAGAGGGGTGAGGTGTGAGAGGACCGACTAGAGAGGAAGATCAGTCTAGCTGCAGCATTCATGACAGACTGTAGCGGGGCAATACGGCTTTTGGGGAGACCAATCAGGAGAGGGTTACAGTAATCCATGCGGGAAATTACTAGAGCATGGACAAGCTCCTTGGTAGCATCTTGAGTAAGAAAGGGGCGAATGCGGGCTATGTTTTTGAGTTGGAACCTACAGGACTTGGCAACAAAGTGGATGTGAGGCTCAAAGGTGAGACCAGAGTCAAGTATGATGCCAAGACAGCGTGCTTGCAGGGATGGACTTATCACTGAGTTGAAGGGAGAGCGAGAGAGGAGGATCAGTATTAGGAGGAGGAAAGACAAGGAGTTCAGTTTTAGAGAGGTTAAGTTTCAGCTTTCAGTTTTGAGGACATCCAGTCAGAGATGGAAGAAAGGCAAGCAGTGGCATGTTGCAGGACGGCAGGGGAGAGGTCCGGGGAGGAGAGGTATAATTGAGTGTCATCAGCATACAGGTGGAAGTGGAATCCAAAAGAGGCAATAAGTTTACCTAGAGAGGCAGTATAAAGAGAAAATAGGAGGGGACCAAGGACAGACCCTTGGGGAACTCCAACCGAGACAGGACGAGGAGACACTGAATGAGCTTTGGGAGAGATATGAGGAAAACCAAGAGAGGACAGAGTCACAGAGACCGAGCGATTGAAGAGTTTGAAGGAGAAGAGCATGATCAATGTTGTCAAAGGCAGCAAAGAGGTCAAGGAGAATTAATATGGAGTAGTGACCTTTGGATTTAGCGGAGATTAGGTCATTAGTCACTTTGATAAGAGCAGTCTCAGTAGAGTGGAGAGGGCGGAAGCCAGACTGAAGAGGGTCAAGGAGAGAGTTGGAATTAAGGAAGCGAGACACACGGGTAAAGACAAGTCTTTCCAAAAGCTTTGATGAGAAAGGGAGCAGGGATATGGGATGATAGTTAGAAGGGGAGGATGGGTCAAGAGATGTTTTTTTCAGGATAGGTATTACAGTGGCATGTTTAAGGTCAGCAGGAACAGTGCCAGAAGAGAGAGAGCAGTTAAAGATGTGTGTTAGGGTAGGCACAAGACAAGGGGAGAGAGATCTGATGAGGTGAGATGGGACAGGATCGAGCGGGCAAGTGGTGGGGCGAGAGGAATGGAGAAGCGCAGCCACCTCTTGTTCAGTAGCCGGGTAGAAAGTCTGGAGGGTAGGGAAAGCAAGATTTACATGTGGTTGAGAAAGAGAACGGCAAGGAGGGGAGAATTGTTTCCTTAGCTGTTCAATCTTGTCGGTAAAGTAGCATGCAAAGCTATCAGCTGTAAGGTTAGTTTGGGGGGTGGCCACAGCAGGGCGGAGAAGGGAATTTAAGGTGTCAAAGAGACGTCTGGGATTGCGGGAGCATGAACTAATGAGAGAGGAAAAGTATGACTGTTTGGCGAGGGCGAGGGCTGCGCTGTATGAAAGCAACATGAATCTATAATGGAGAAAGTCTGCCTGGGTGCGGGACTTCCTCCAGGAGCGTTCAGCACAACGGGAGCAACTCTGCAGATAGCGTGTTGATTTATTATGCCAAGGTTGGGGACGTGTCCTCCTCGAGGTGCATGTTTTGAGAGGGGCTGCAGCGTTCAAGGCAGATGTGAGGGTAGTGTTGTATGTGGAGACGGCCAGTGAGGGACAGGAGAGGGAAGGGATGTATAGCAGTTGTGAATCAATGTCAGCTGACAGCTGCTGGAGGTCAGTAGAGTTAAGGTTCCTCCTGAGCTGAGGGGGGTTAGGCTGAGATTGTTGGGTGAGGGGGTAATTGAGAGCAAACGATAAGAGGTGGTGATCAGAGAGAGGAAATGGAGTGTTGCAGATATTAGATATTGTACATGAATAAGAGAAAATAAGGTCGAGGGTATTGCCAGCTACATGAGTGGGAGAATTAGCCCACTGCAAAAGTCCAAGGGAGGAAGTGATTGAAAGAAGTTTAGAGGCTTAAAGGTGGGTTAACGGGAATATTGAAGTCTCCAAGAATTAGGGATGGGATGTTGGAAGAGAGGAAGTAGGGTAGCCAGGCAGCAAAGTGGTCAAGGAAGAGGAGAGGGGAACCAGGGGGACAATAGATTACGGCAATGTTAGCAGAGAAGGGTTTGAAAAGGCGAATTGAATGAATTTCAAATGATGGGAAAGAGAGGGAAGGGGGGGTGGACAGGCATACTTCAACTCCCTCTGCAATGTGCTCAGGAAGTATGTTTGGAACGGGAAAAGGCCCAGACTTAAATTCCCACAACGCAGACCTCTTACCCATCATCTCTCCTCCCACTGACACACAACACAGACTTTCCACCAGGCCTCGACCCTAATGCATTCAGGGACCTTTTTTCCAGACCCGCTACCAAGGCTACACCACATACACCCAATGACGGGGTGGAAGGCTCTCTCAGACATCATAAGAGATACCATCCTGACCTTCACAAATATGCCCACTATATTGACTAGCTACCTTAAGACCCTGCCGCAGGGCCAGGAACTGCAGCCCACTCTTACAGCATTCGAACAGGCATGGATCTAGCCGCTCCCTCATAGAGTGTCCTTCCTATACTCCACACTTCAGACACTCATCCCAGTCAAAATGCCTAAATCCAAGGGGAGGTGGGAAGCAGCCCTGAACTGTAGGTTTAGCGATGGGGAGTGGGAGAAAATATGCTTTCTAACACAGATTCTCTTTTTAGCAAAAGCCAGGAATCAGCTTACAAATTGCTTACACACTGGTACCGCACCCCAGACGTATTGCACAGGATATCCTCATAGCACCCGGAGCAGTGCTGGAGATGCGGGACTAAGGCAGGGACAACCCTACATATATGGTGGGAATGTGATTAGATAAATCCTTTCTGAAAGGGGATACACTGAATGTTGCACAAGTTTCGAACCAACCGCCCCCCTTCGACCCTGCTGCGATGCTCCTCCACCCCACAACTACACCGAGCAATAGACACAAAGGAACAATCCCAATTAGGATTCTCAACATAGCAAAATAGCTCACTCCACAACACTGGAAAAGCACAGAGACACCCACACTGGGCAATTGGTTTACACAAATGGAAGATTTAAGGGCAGTAGAAGACATACACATGAAATCCTCTGACAAAACACAACAATACCTAGACATCTGGGCTCGCTGGCTACTGACCACAACAGGTGGCAGGTTCACACTACTGAGTCATCAACCCTATCAGGCAGCCACACTCCCAAGAGGGTCAGTACCCAGATGGGGAAAAAGTCTTCTCCCCTTCCCCTCCTACCCTTCCCCCCAGGACCTTGTCCACCCCAGGGCCACTGGTTTTTAAACTATGTTGTTTTAAATAAAGGTATTTTGGCCACTTTCTTACTGTGAGTTAGCCATCTTACTTTTTATTACTATTATCATTTTACTTTTTTACTACTACCATCCTTTTATCCGGCACCAGAAGTGTTTTTACTTTCCAGTGAGGATATTACTCCCAAGAATCCTCGGTGGGGATTATACCACTCAAGCTGTATTCATTGAACAGTTAGTCTGTTCAACTAAATGTGAGTAACCACTTGGTTTTTTATCTTCTCACCTCTGGCATTTTATACTTTGAGCACTATTGCTGTTCCCACTTTTATTTCCACATATGGTTCCCTAATCAAGAAAGAATACTAAGACCTCACGTATCCCATAAGTGGGGATTATACCACTGTATGTTATGAACACTAGAGCTAAGTACATAGCTCTTGAAAACATGAGTAGGACCATATACTCTTTGATTGCTTCTATCCCTTTCGGGACATACTTCACCATCAGTTGTTATTTTTTTATTTCATATGATGTACAAAGACGCATC